ATAGATAGATAGATAGATAGATAGATAGATAGATAGATAGATAGATAATTAAAGACTTCTGACAGACAGGGAGTTAGCCTTTCCCTGGATAAGAAAGGCATGATTATTCAATCTTAATTGCTCAGCCAGAAAAAAAAATATATATATACACATGCAGGGAACACTGAAAAGACTCAGCAGGTTGTGTTTACATATTTATTCCCACAACACACAAAAAAAAAACTAATAATAACTACAGAAAAAAGGCTAATAATTTGAAAGAAGAGAAGACCATTTAGAGGTTAAAGGGAGAAGAGGAGTGATGAAAAAAGATAATTAAATTAAAAATTTAGAAAACGTCAAGAAAAAATAATCTTAAATAAAATATATTTTAGTGGGAAGAAGAGATACAAAAACATGGGGGAAAGGCATGTCTTCAGTTCATAAGAAATATCCTCGAAAAAATATATCTAGAGTTGAAAACATTAGATATGAGGAAGTAACTGAATATACCTAAGTTTAGCTGGAGAGGAAAGAAACAGGAAATAGTGGGTAAAAGCTGATAATACAAACAAGAGAAGAAAAATGACAAATGACAAAGGAACTTATGAGTTATTGTTATAGAGAACAAAGTACTCACTGAAGAATAGAGTAAACACAGCCAAAAAAGAGATCATGTAACTACCTCAGTTGGATTGTACAGTGATTAAAGCGGTCAACGGAGGGACTGGACAGGCAGTGATGGCTGTGAGATGATCAAAAGACTCATCATGAACTTCAACGAAAGATTCGTTTTACACTCTGAAAACAGAAACAAGTACTAGAGATGTGACAGCCATCCAAGAAAATGTGTCAGAGTGGCCTAAAGTCAACAGAGAACCACCCTGTGGGGTTCCTAGTGTGTCAGAGCTCAGCAACTCTTACTGAAAGAGGCCCTTCCTGGGGCACACATAAAAAATGTTTTCCTGGTTGGCTTTTTGTGCAGAGGGCAGGCAGCCATGCATCTCTGTGCATCACTGCTGGCA